CATCAGGACCTGCTGATTTGAATATGTCTAGTCCCACCAGCAGTTCCCTGACTAGGTCCTCACTGACCCTGGGCCTGGCAGAGCCTCCCCTGGGTCTGTCGGAGATCCCAGTGGGGGGATGCCCTGGTCCCTGCTCAAAAAATAACCACCCTTCAGGTTGCTATTAAATCCCCCCTCCGTCTTCTCTTCTCCAGACTAAATAAACCCAGCTTCATCAGCCTCTCTTCATAAGTCATGTTCCCCAGCCCCCTAGGCATTTTCATGGCTCTCTGCTGGATTTGTCAACAGCCTTTCCATTGTGGGGGGCCCAAAACTGGACACAGTACACCAAAAGTGGCCTTACCAGTGCCAAATAGAGGGGAATAATCACTTCCCTCAGTCTGCTGGCAATGGTCCTATTAACGCCTCTAAAGATCCAATGCCTCTTAGAACTTAGTCCCCAAATTTGGGTAAGATCTCCCAATCAGCCTGGCCATCTGTTAGAAATTGTAAAGTTTTTAAGCTGTAGAGATTCTAAGTTGTAAGAATGCTGATTTCTGCTTGGATCATAAATATGTACTGTGATATGTATCAAGTTATTCTTTATTTGCTAGCAATATTCATAATCAGAATTGTAATGAAGTTTTCTTCTGTATTCCCTCCTTCAAAGGACTTGTTTTACATAAGAACAGGAGCTGTAAAAACCCCCCTGCTAATTTACTCTAGGGCTGCATCCAGATGGGCATGAATGTGTGGTATTTGGTGCTGCAGACCCATCTGCAGGTGTTCCCCACACTGCTACCATGCAGCATGGGGGGAGGTGGGGGAAGGGGGTTGACTCTGGGAGATCGCAGGGTAAAAAAAACCCATGCTAAAAAAAAAGTGGGGCACCACACTCTGGCTCCTGGCCAGGCTTCCTGCTGCAGGAGTGCCATGGCTACAACTTCCTGAGGCCTCCCAGGACCCTGCCCAGCCCTTCCACCCATAAGGGTGAGAGTGAGATGCCCATGTGTACACACACCCTTGCCAACATAACCTATTGTTGTGGGTGGGTGGAAGAGTCCAGCCCGGCCACCACATGGCTTCCAGGCGGGGTTGCTGCTGCCACTACTGCAGCTGCTGGGGGACCTGCTCACTCCAGGAAGCAGGTAGGAAAGCAATGCAGATGGGAGCGGGTAGGGGAGCTGCAGTTGGGCAGAAGTGTGGAGAGTGGGGCTGGCGGCAGCATAGCGCCAGCCCCTTGTGGCATCACATACCACACGTTCAGGCTGGTGGTAGCATGGAGCCTGCACCCAAGGCGGGTGGTGGCAGCACAGAATTCAGATGGGCCAGGTGTGGTGGGGGGTGGGTGTGGGTACTCCCCACACTACCCCCATGGGCTCTTGGGGTGCTCATGCTCCGGCCTGTACTCCATGCAGGAGTAAGGAGTGCAGACCGGCTGGCCACCTTTATTGCTGTGGCTCGCCACTGTACACATGCAGCCCCTGCAATCACATGCCAGTGGAGGGAAGTGCCACATGCTGGAGACTGCTGCCTTCACTGCCACCTGCTGTGCAGGTCCCGGGACTCCATCAGAAGTGGAGGGGAGCCCCAGCCCCTACTTCCCTGTGGAGTCCTGGGAGCTGCATGGCAGGGGGTCGAGAAACCAGCTGGCTCCAGCGCATGATGCTTCCCTCTAGTGGTGTGCAAGGGCGGGGGC